TAATTCCATCAAAACGGGTTAAATACTTATCGAAACATTTGATATCAAAACAAGTTTCGGACAAGATGACCATCTGAAAGGCATAATTTCCTCAATGCCCGCACCGAAAGTCCAGTCTTCTCCAGAGGAGTCCTCCATCAAATGAACAATAGCACAATTATCAGGTGTACAACTTAGCTTCCGCCGTTTTTTTTTCCAAAATTAAAAGCTTTATTGGGAAGAAGTGCTTACAGGTATATTATTCAAAGTATTGTCCTTCGCTAGCGACAACTTTCTCCCATCTTTCCGGCAATTTTCGGATCCCGGCTCGAAAAAAGGAGTTCTCTTTTGACGCTATCCATGAAGCGATCCATTTTTCCAATTCTTCGAAGGATTGAAAATGTTGATCTGCCAGGCCGTGTGCCATCGAACGGAATTGGTGAAAGTCAGAAGGGGTTGGAGGATGACTTTGTCATGTCGCTCTTGATATTGTGGCCGCTTTTCTTTTAGCGCGTGACTAAGGCGCATCAGTTGCGTTCGGTAACGATCTCCTGTGATGGTTTCACCCGGTTTTTTTTTAGTTGTTGTTTGTCTTCGACATCGAAATCACCATTTTTAAAACGTTGAAACCACTCCCGACACGTTCTTTAACTCAGAGCAGCATCACCGTTAGTTTCTGAGAGCATTCGATGCGCTTCAGCTGCATTTTTTTTCGAATTGTAACAAGAAAAGCAAAACTTCCCGCAAATGGCGAGAATTAGGCACATAAACGGACATTTTCGAGCGTGAATAATACGAAAACAAGAACAACTGTCACTGAAACGGCGATGACAATTCGTTAGGCACTGTCTACATTATCATCTATGTATTTCAACCAGCCTCAGCCGGTACAGCCACCAATAGGAAAACGGCGGAAGCAAAGTTGTACACCTTACACATCCTTGCTACCTCGACTGACAGCCATAACATCAATGCAATAAACACCGTTATTGGTGTTAGTGCCCTCCCGAATATTTGTTGCAAAATTTCCTAGGGAAAGGTTTCGCCAAAAATGTATGGCCTTTCGCCGCGTAGACAGAAATTCCAACTGACATACATGGCTGAATATCCTCAGCTCGTCATCAGGATTGTATCAAAATAAGATTTAATTAGTATCTGTTTACCATTTGGTAATTACAAAGTAACACTCATCAATTTCTCGTTCACAAAACCCATGCAAAATATAAATGGGAAGATTTTTATATTTGATTATTTTTAGGTAATATTAATCTTATTATTCAGAATTGCACTTTTCGTTTTTTGGATCTCGAATAGAGCTTAACTACAATACATACACACATACCACTTTTTTCTCATTTTCTTTCACTCGGTGCACAGGTGCAGGCATGTGAGTACATCCATTCATATTCAGTAACACTTAGTTTTTAAGTATGTGCGTAGCAGCGAGGATGCTCCGCGTTGATCCTCTTCGAAATGCTCTCAAACTAATTACACACACATTCTTCACGGCGAAAGTACGTTAAAAGTATGCGCCAAATCCATACTTCAATTAGCGTATAAATCGCTTTTAATGAAGCTTTCTACAAAGTAAAAGCTGCCTCACACCGCGATAGAAATCTACGTGTATACATTAAGCTAAATAAATCATAGAGCTGAAGGCTTTAGGAGTGCTCGAGAAATTCTAATGAATGCCCGGAGTTCTGCCTTCGCGCCAAACTAAGTTTATACTGAGTGGTTATTATATTTATACATACACATATAGAGACGCACTTGTATGCCTAAGTATATGACATGGGCGGAGCACGAGCAAAAATTAAATTTTGAAAATAAAACCAGTTGAGTATTCTTTTTGAAAATATTTCACAGTGTCCTTTGTGTATTTGGCACTTGATTTTGCAACTGATACGGTATAAAGTTCCCCTAACAGTTGTTTCTGGAGCCGCCGCCGTAGTGTGTTCATACGTATGTACTTTGGAGTTCACTTAGTTATGTGGGTTCTAGTTTTACCAGAGCATTAAATACATGGCAAGGGCAGCGCAGTGTTGGCATTAAGGCCTATCAGTTCACAGCTCACAGATAATCCGGCTTACTGATAATTTATAATTGTTTCAAACAACACATGTATACATTCATAGCTGTCAAGCTTATTATTAAACGTAACGACGCAACCGATTTTTTCGCACCTACCTGGACGCGGTAGCCGAGTGGTTAGCATTGCGCACTGACATTCGGTAGGCTCGGGTTCATATCCCGGTGCCGCCAACATCCAAAAGTTATGGAAAATTAATTAAATAAAAAATTCAATTAAAACTTCCAATTGCGGTCACCTCTCAGAGGGAAATGTCCACCCCTCTGAATATATTTCGGATCTGAAATAAAGCTCCTCATAAAAAACCATCAGCCGTTCGGAGGCGGCTTAGTACAAACTGTCGGTCCCTCAATTTTGGTGGAAAAACATCAAAACGCAAAATCACAAATTGGAGGAGGAGCTCGGCCGAAAGCCGCTTCAGCGTTTACAAAGCGCCAATTATATAATTTTATAAAAAATTATATAAAAATTACCAGCAATGTAGTGACAATGAAAAATATCAAGAAATGTATTGGATTCTCTTCTCTACCTTCAAAACTTACATATGCATCCATTCAGGAACAAGTTGCGAACTGCCTTGGGCTCTTGATCTCCCAGAACAATTTTTCCAATAACGAAATCGAATTATTTTTAAGGTGTCTACTATCATCTTTAATCTTTTTGATTAAGACCGTCTTCAGACTTGCTTATATAATTTGCCCTTTATCACCGCTGAAGCGGCTTTCGGCAAACTGCTTTTACAGATCATACTAAGCCACCTCCGAACGGCTGACGGATTTTTATGAGAAGCTTTTATTTCATGTAAGAAGAAAACGAAGCGTAGACATTCACATTCTTTACCGAAGGGCTACTCCAATTAGATAAATTACTTAAGGATACGAACCCATGACCGTTGGCATAACAACATGCACTGCCACCACCCAAGACCATCTTTCGGATTATTACAGAAAGGTACGAAAAATTATTATATTATATTATTAAGTTATATCATTGTCATTGGGTCATTGCTAACCAAATTTGACGGTAATTTCAAAATCAAAAGGTTCCCTGCACTTTTATATGGGACAGAAGTTCATCCTAAGAACTCTGCTTAGCGAAATATCGACGATATTAAATGGACGTGATGGGATCGGAGTTAAAAAAAATCTATGATTTCGAAGGTAGTTCTAGCCAAGATTCGAACACACAACACTCCAAATCATACATCAACTTTTTTGTATTTTAGCTTTCTTTATTTATTTAATTTTATCAAAATATATAAATATTTAGCGTTGAATTCTTTCATAATACAAGATGAAGGTCGATTTTTCTCCTGATAAACCTGTATTATATAGTTTTAGTAACCAATTCTTTGCTGATACTTTTCTTAGTATACTATTCATACAAAATCATTACTATGCATCATACACCAACTTATATAATACTTATTATACCCAAAAGTACAATATGATACAATGTTATAATAGTAGATACATACACGTACATACATACGTATATAATTATCGTTTTGAAATTGATTTATTTATGCTTTATAATCTTCTCATAAGATTCTTACTTTACTCAGCAATTCCAGAATTTATTGTAATTATTTTATTCTTTTGTATTTGGTGTATGTGTGTATTTGAAAAATTGAGACTCCCGAAGTAGGATTTATGCCTTGTCTTCTCGTATTATTGAATAAGCATACTTATACACATACATATGTATTATATTGTTTATGTAAAATTACAGTTTAAATACCTACATTGGTTTCATCTCTACACATTTAAGTTAATTAAACTTTTTATTTTTTCATTTAATTTCATTCATTTCTTACTTACATGTAATTATTGTATTTGTTTACTTTTCTTTTGTATGTACTAATAATATATTATCTTGGTACGAAGTAATTTAGATGAGTTGGCTGGGTCGATAACTCCGACGGTGGTTTATATAATACATAATGTGATAAACTGAGCAGACAGTTTGGAGAATAAACAAATACTCATATAATAGGTGTATATACATAGACATACACATACCAATGCTCAATGAAGTTTGTGAATGCATTTATGTATATACTCGTATATGTCAATACATATATTGTATATCTATTTAACTGTATAGCTCATTATTGCCATAGCTTCTAGGGTTTTTTGTTTAAGGAACAGTGGTGGCTAATGATTGATTTACTGATTTGTTTCAACTAGTAAACAATTGATTTTCTTTAGTTCATAAAACTGTTTGCAATGTTGAAGAAATGATGTAATTAATTAAATATTAGATATAAATTGTACTGATAACGGTTATTAGTTGAAATATCAATGTATTAGTGTTAAATTCAAATATGTTTTTTTTAATTAAAATCATAGCGCACCTACAATCTGTTTAAATTTAATTTTTGTTCAATGATTGAAAGCTCTATACGTATATAAATTATTATTAAGTAATTTTTGCTCAATTAAGCTGTTTCGTTTGGATGGAAGCATTCGTCACACCTGCAGATCAAATGTTGGAAACTACTTATAATGATGCATCCATTGAGTTCGCAAGAAAATTCAAATCTATTTATGTATGTCCATATGGCCAATCCAAATTTTTGGAAAAAAAATATTGAAACGTTTGTATGTTCTTTTGATATGGTTTCGAACTACATATGTTTTTAAGACTGCACTCTTTTCGGCAAATCCGCATATTTTCCGGGATGGCAGGGTTGTCTGAGGATTTTGATTTTCTTGTAGACTCCTCACAGAATGATGGTATGATATTTTTAATAGTATCCGATTTTTTTCATTTCGAAATATAATAAATTTCTCGATATAAAAACTCTACATATATATTATATTACATATAACTATGTGTATGTGTTTGCACACGTATTTCGCAATATCTTGTTATTAAGTGTTGTGTAAAACTCTGGTCATTTCTGTATGGCAAAATGAAATTACAACGTCTTTTATCTTTGGCATTTTATTATTTATAACTTTCGATTTTAATGCTAACTGATATTACCATATGAAGATTTATTTTCAATGTATAATCTTAAAACTAAAAACACCAAGAAGTTTTCATTTAGTCTTTAACATAACATAAAGTACATTTTGATTTAAAATAATTAGGTATGTATATAAATATGTGTAAAATTATTTAAGCGAAACATGTATAAATGTATAAATAAAAATGTATATGTAAGTATTTTCTTATTATTCTTTTTATTTCCAATCGAACCACAACTCAGCTGTGGGCCAATGCATAGGCAGTATAATATTCAAATTCAAATTGAACAAAAATTCAATCTAAAGATTGTATCGGGTCAATTACTTAGAAAAATGCATAGCTCGAAAAAAATTGTTACCAAGCAATGTATAACGAAAATATTGAAGTAAATTAGCTGACTTTTAATAATACATAATCATTTAAGTGTGTAGCTAGTGTTTGTAAAATGTATGTACTTAAAGTAACATCATGTATGTATAAAACTTTTCCCATAAGCGAATTATTTTGCTATTAAGTAGTAAAACATGGTTCTTGTAGGCATTTTGTAACTGTAAAAAATATCTTTTGAAATAATTTCATAACTCGATACAACAGTTAAAAAATTTTCAAATTGGCCTGATAGTTTTTTTTTCTTCCTTTCTTTTTTTTTGTATTCATTTACAGCTACGTATAAAAATCGAACTTAGTTATAAGTTGTATTAGTCACTACATTTTACGGACTACAGGCGTAAATAATAATATTTTATCTTCTCGCGATCAGATTGACGTTTAATTCTTAGATTAGTTTTTCGTGTATATGTGTTATACAATTGAAAAATATTAAGTAACACACATGCGTGTTAATATGATTGTGACAAGTTTTCATTTTGATTACATGACAACATTATTTCTCAACGTCATTATATTCCATTTTGAATGTGATATCTTAAACTGAACTATCGGAAGCACCAGAAGCACTCAACAAATAGATTCAATGTAGATGAAGAGGAACTTAAATTAATAATTTCACTCGCTTATTTTGATAAATTAATTAATGATCTGTTGTTATTTACAAGCGCCATAAAAATAAGATCAAATCTTCGAGCCCAAAAATATATAAAAGAAGATCTGTAACTTTTGAAGCAATTAATATTTCTTTTCGTGGTTTTTACAGTTTTGTTGAGAGCAAATGTTGCACATAAATTGATTGCTTAGTAATTACAATAAATTTTTTCATAGGTTCCGACGGCGCTCATTCCCATCATACCTTCCTTACATCCCACGATATACTTATCGTGAAAATAGTTGCTCGTTTTTACTACTTATCGTTCGTAGCTTTGCTCTATCACTTATATTATTTATGCATAACTTTATAACTTTAAAACGTATATGTAGGGGATTAAGTAGTAAAGTTTCAATTTATTTCAAGCTTAGCAGCAGTACTGAAGTTAAAATTTTCACCAAAATCCTTGCTCTCCAAGCTTTAACACAAATTTCGCTCATTTATGGTGAAACATATGGTGGTGGTTTTCTATAAGAAGGCGTGGCAGGTGATTTTCCTCGTGCTTCGCGACCTCCCACTACAACAGCTGGCGGTGGCACATATTCATCGACATCATTATCACCTAAAATTATTAGATTAAATATTAAGAATACAACAGTTTCGATATAAAGACATGTACATGCTTAATACGTACATTTCGTGCACAAATAAAAAGAAAAATGCATAAACATACCATTCATGTTGGACGTATTGTAAGAAGGCGGCAATAACGGTGGCTTCTCGTCCTTCAATATAATCGGGCTCTTATTGCCGATTTCAGGTTTTTCGTCTAGTTCATCTTGGAAAATAACAGGTATATTCTTTTTACGGAAGGACCTGCGTTCTTCCTCATCTCCTAAAGAGAGAAAGAAAGGAATTATATTTTATTGAATATAAAATAGTTGAAAATACGATTCGCAAGATTTATACAACAAATAATTGACTGAATTCTGATATACATATATGACATTTGACAGTATATTCATAAAAGGAACTAAATTCAATCTTAGCACGAATGGATTTTAAGAAGTTTTAAGAAGACGAAATTTGTAGAATAGTAGTTAAAAAAGCGTTATATAAAAAAATAAATAAATAATTTTCTTTGAAACAATGCTAGAGCTGTTCGAAATTTCGTAAGCTATTTAATCAAAAAAAAATCAAAAAAAAAAAACAAAATAAAGCAAAAAAAAAAAAAACAAATAAATAAAAAATATTCAGATTTCTAGACTAAACTTTAAAATAACCTGTAAGGCATACCAAGTTCCATTTTACCGCTCTTACGGCGGCGGCGATGTAAACAACATGCAACCATTAAAGCAATTAATATCATGGTGACTATAATTATAGCCGGCAATATTATAGTGTACATATATTCGTCACTAAAGCTGGACTTGAGAGTTGGTTGATCGGGTTTGACAGGTGCATAGTCCCGATGTATGATATCAGTTTGAGCTATAATAAAGTAAGAATGTTCATTTATACGAAAACAAAACAAACGCAGGAGATCTTACGGTGACATAATCCCAGGGGCAAAGCTTGAACATTCGTCAGGTTTAATTCTGGTCCCAAAATTTTCTTAACATGATCGCGTACCATGTGGTCTTTTATTAAGTACACGCTTCGAACAGCTTCAATCTCCTCCTCTGGACATCGATTGTGTGATTTGTACAAGCTTGTGTTATAGAAATTAACAATTGTACTATCCGAATCGTGATGTGTCGTCACAGACCTTATTTGCACATACTGGGTAGAAGAGTCACCGAAAAGTTGTGCGATACGCTCTACGAATTTCCGCTGAAGGTCAGCATTGAATTGTTCATGCCGAATAGCCAAGTAGGCTTTAAAGTAAACGCTAAACTCTTTTTTGGGAGCATGATTTACCACCACAACTAATGCGTCAGTGGCGCTCAGACCACCAGCATCTTGAGCTACCAACAGATATTCTTCTGAACCAGTATCACCACTTTTTGGTATGCCATAGAACTCCTGATTTTTCGAATCGAATTGTAACCAATGACGTGGATTCAGTTCCTTATGATCCTTAGTTTTTAATGTTAAAGACAATTGCTCGTTATCGTTCGGATCGTAGAATGTATCACTAGGTACTTTGAAAACAAGCAAATGACCAACTGTAGCATTTACACGATCCACTTGGTTGCGAGGAAGCGGTGGCACATTTGTTGCCATATGAGTCGTGGGTTTCGGTTTAGTGATATGCGACTTTTGGCAAGCACCAATCAGCTGTCCAGTTATGGATTTTACACTCAACGTTGGATAAATCAAGTCGCTTAGACGACTAGCATCTAAACTTTTGACAAGTTTATTAAGTCCTCCCTCTGGGCACTCGCTGGTGGGAAAAGTCTCATTGAAATACACAAATGTGGCTGTATTGGGGTCTTGTGGCATTGCCCGGATCTCCCGTACAACTATCCAGCTAGTGTTTTCATCTCCCAACGTAAGTGCTACATCTATAAGAGTTTAAATATTTGAAGTAATATTAATTTGATATAAAAATGAACATCAAACAATTACCTCGCATTAATTTCAGTTGCCAGTCAATGTTGTGCATATTTTTTTCGTTGATCCTAACAGTGATGCTTATCTCATGGTTGACGGTGCGAACACCGCGATGCTGCTGCACAGATATTTCAAGGGTCTCTGTTACCGATTCATTCCCGGAATCCGTTGCCGAAAGTCGGTACTGCCATTTCGAGACCGAATCGTCTAAAGGTCTGTAAGAGATCGCCCCAATTTCATGAGAACAAAAACAAATCATACACCAATTCAAAATTCATACTTACAGCCCATAAAGCACGTGCGTTTCGGGATTAAACTGTAGCCAAGATGATGCCTTCAATTCACGTCCGTCCTTGTCTGTTAAATCTAATCTCAGATTCGTTAGATCTTCCGTGTCGTAGAATGTATCTGCTGGCACTGAATACGTAAAGGCTTTACCAGAAGTAACAGCGAATTTTTGAAGTCGTGTACGTATCATTGGCGGCGTATTTTCTACTTTAGGTTCAACGTAATCGGTGGATGTCACGGTTGGTACGTTAGTCTCACTACTTAAGGTAGTGGGTGTTGTGGCATAAGCCGAAGTTGTTGGTGAATTTAAAGCCGTTGTTGGAGAGGAACTATTAACATCCTTTACTTGAGGTGTGATGAAGGGCTAAATACCAAATGAAAATGTTTAATAAAATTTTATTTTTTTATGGTGGAGTATCAATTACCGTTTGACTTGAACCATTTACAGAAGCTGTAACATCCGTTTCATTATCATCCTAAGAGTGATCCATTCGTTTACATGATGATTATTTGTTATAGGAAAATAAATAAATAAATGAACTTAATTCGTAAAATCAATTAACTATTCATATTTCATGCCATCTATCTATTTGTACTTAATGAAACAAAAATCAGGCGAGTTGTGCATATCATCATTTACGCACAAACATTTGGCATTTGCCTTTTTTAAATGTAGTTGGAATTATACACTGATTCGTTCCGTTTTAGGATTTAAACCGCGAGACTTGCAGAACTTGCCCAATATATTAAATTTTGTACACAAATTTTTTAAATAATAGGTATTTATATACATATATTATACTTATAGGTATAGGACAAGCATTTTACAAGAGTACAAGCTGTGCTCCAGCAGCGGTTCAAAAGTGGATTTCTCATTAGGTATTAATGCAGCTTTTTTAAATATGAATGGAAGGTATATGTTGTACTTATGGCAAGACATTTTATTCCTGTTTTGATAGTTGAATTGTTAGGGTGTGACCAGATTAAGTGTATGTGGTGGAATGCATGTTCACACATATGTATGTATGTATAAGTGATTTTCGGTTAATTATGTGTTTACGTGAATATGTTAGTATTCAAATGTATATTATTTACATACAATACATATATCATAACATAGCATATTAAGACATAAAGTTGCAATACAAAAACAAATGTGCACAATTAACAGCTATGAAGTGTGAATAATATGCAATAGTTGTTCAATTAGCAAGTTCTAGTTATGTTGAATTCGCATCCGTTAAAATATCACTGGCGGAAAGTTGAATGTAGGACTTTCTTTTATCAAAATGAACATGGTTTCAATGCCCACAGCGCCAGCTAAACCATTGACTAAGTAATGGAGTAGATGTTCTATGTTTTGTAAAAGTATTGTATCAACATGCATGGTAGATGCTTGGGTATGTGGATTTGTGAAGGTAACGTAAACGCTAATATATTTATTAATTTTGGCAAGCATGCTTTCAAAAATTCTGTATCTATTTGCATATTAAATACAATATTGACATTTTTCGGATTTTGTTTGTTTGGGATTTTCTTGTTTGTGCCTAATTCCAAGCTGCACGATATTATATAAAAAAATTATATTTTTGGCAAACTATTAGACGGGTTTTCACCTTTTTGACAGCTCTGTCAACTGGAAATGTGATAAAAGTCTCCGTCGTCGTTGAGACAGAGGGGACAACAGTTACAGTGTCTACGTCGTATCCGTCAACATAATTCCCTCTCCGCTCTCCAGGCGCATTAACTGAATCTGCAGTTGGCAATTTTTGCGTTGTGAGCATTAATAACACATTCGGTGCGGCATCAGAGTCGCTTTTAGCGTCGATTTTAGTTTCCGATTTTCCTTCATTTATTGGTGTTATCGGAGTAAATATAAAATTTTCGAATGCATTTGCTGATTGGTTTTCATCAATTTCCAGCTGATTTATTTCATGTTGCGTATGTGGCAGCTACGTTTTAGCCACATATTTCAATACATACATAGTTAGCCAATCATATCATGTTTTGTAGACAACAAAATGTTTCAAAAATAGAATAGGTCATATACGAGTGAGTAGAGCAAGGAAAAATCAAAAGGTCTAAAAATTTCCATTTCGAATATTTTGTTTAAAAAAAAGAGGATCTAAAAAAACCGTTAGTGGCGCAGCATTTAATGTGCGCCGCATGATGGAACAAAAAATAATCGTGTAATTGAAAATTTTAAGCAGAGACTTCTGAGTTTGTGTTATGCTAATTACATTTGCTAAATTTACTAAACATTCATATTTATTTAAACATTAAACATATGTACATATTTATGTATGTATGTATGTATGTATTGCTACGTATTACAAACTTATTTTTTATAGAAAACATTTACTTCTCAGTTGGTCAAATCAAAAATAACATACATTTTTAGTTTGTATAGCTCTGTACAGCCTAAGCTTGGTAAAGTTATTAGTTTGATATTTGTGTGGTGAGTAAAAATACAATAAAACGACCAATAAAGTGAAATCAAAGGTAAACGACGTGGATTTTAACACAATTTAAAACTTTTAGCATAGTTTTTTCATCCAATTCGCTCTATGTGGTAATCGTAGATAATGGAAAGCACAACAGAGTTTTTAGTATTTACCTTGGTTAACATTGGTGTCTGTATGGATGATGTTGTTGTTGCCAATGAAGTTGTGACTGTTGACGATATGAATGGAGGCACGAAAGACGAATCAGACGATGTGGTGGAAGGTGAAACGGACATTGATGAGTAAGACGAAGAAGAGGATGAAACAGTTGCCGGTGATGAATATAATGAAGTGGTGACAGCATTGGTCAATTGGATGGGTGTAGGAGTTGTTGAAACTGTAATCGCTGCATTCATTGAAAGCGTATATAACGTTGATGGCAACAAAGAAGTTGTCTCGAGCTTTCCCACCTCAATGGCGAATGAGTTAGCAGTAGAAATGCCGGGCTCTAGTGAAATAGATACCGGCAATAAGGTCACTACTTCTACCTCGGGCGATGGTGAGGTTGATGCATTCATATTTACAAATTCTTTCAATTTATAGCTACCGGCGGTACTTGTATCAACATTGACATCTGAGGAAGTTTCGTATGTATTATTCTCAACTGCAACATATTCATTTAGTGAATGTGACGAGGTTTCTGTTGTGGAATTTGTAAGCTTTACTGGTTCGTTGGCAACAATCGGATTGACTTGATCATTTTCTTTTAAATTCGTTTTTTCTGCTTTTTCTCTATTGAGCTCTTCAATTGCATTAGATAGGTCAAGTTCCTTTTCTATTTCAACAACGACAGGAACATCGTCTTCCTCAATAACAGGAATTTCTTTAATGTTTTTCGTATTTTCAATAGTTTTAGTAATAACTGATTCCAACTGCGAGACACTCTCAACAATTTCCTTGTCAATATTGCCTGCTTTATTCGTGGGCAATAAGTTCGAGTTACTAATTAAAGAAGTCTGTTTTGGGCTGGATGACGCAGCTGATACAGCCGCAAGTATACCTTCTTCACCTCTGACTTCGGCATCGATTACCGGATCGACAATCTTATTACTTAACGTTGATGATGAAGATACTGAAGTAATCTCCATCTTATAATCCTCAATATTCGACTACCAATGTTTATATGCAAAATATGGTTTTAGAATATGCATAACGGTGATTGTGCAAATGGAAATGCGTGTATAATGAATACATATATTTTAAAGTAATCATAAAAATATGAACGGAATATACGTTTGCAGAGTTAGTCATAAAAAAGTAAGATAAGAAAATGTAAAATGAAATTGCAAATGTATGACGTTTTTTATATTTTTTATTTTTTAATATATTTACGTTTCGAATCACAGAAAACGTTTAGAGGTTAGCACAGAAAAAGACAGAGAGAAGAAAAATACCATGAAACATCATTAGATTAATAGTAAATTCTGAACAAATGAATTCAAATAAATTAAATACTTTTTACCATGTTTTCGAGTGTACATATGTATGTGCTGGTAAGTATACATATAATAGTAAGTTCTAATGCGTATGTGTGTGTTTTCATATTTTTTGAATGTCAAGAATTCCAGAATAATATTAATTACAAAGTGCAGTGTTTGAATATGTACATCACTTTGCAATAAACATTGGATTCCAATTTCTTTTTTCCAAATATACCAATAAAATAATATTTTGAACCTTATTATGACATTGAAAGAAACTCACCTGATCTACGCCATGATGATGACGATGAGCATGTGTAGTAACCGGTACATCTGTTACGTTTTCTCTAAAAGCAAAAGAAATATTAATTTAGTGTAAATAATTATATTTTATAAGTCTATTATTAAACAAAACTACATACAAATAGCTAGATCAGATTAAGGATATGCTCAGAAGGGCTATTAAAAGGTAAGGTTACATATATGTTTAAATTTAAAAATTTGGACAATTTTATTTTCTTACAATTATAAATACCACCTAATACCGATTGAGAGAACGAATGAAAACTGTTATTTTTGACATGTCATGTAGATCCTAGATTTTAATTTTGCTAATAAGCTCCTTTTTCAATACATATTATGTATTAATTTTAATTGTGTTTTAGTATGGACCAATAAAATTGAACATATTGAATACAATATAAAAATTACTTTGATTGGATACATACACAACATCTTCATCATCATCGCCGTATTCGTAATCATAGTCATCGTCGACATCTTCTGCACCAGATCCTTCGGTTTGGCGGCGTACGCGTAGCGCTCTACAACAGAGAAATTGTAATAAAAAATATTATAAACGGAAAAATAGGTTGCAACACATTACTCACTTCTGTTTGTAGTGCTTCCGCCAGATAACCCACCAACCAAACTTTTCACCAGTTATGTTATCAATTGAACCATCTTTCATTTGAGCGCCAATTTGCATCTTAATTGGTTCACTCATTGTAAAGTATTTAGATCCACAGCCAAGCTGCATATGTATGTGTGTAAGTATATATGTACAATATATTATTTAGAATTGAGCTCAATATTTCGATTCAATCATATTTGTTAAAATCGTAAAGAATAAATTCATAATCATTTCCATGATATAAACATTTTTACATGCATACATGATTGTTTATATTGGATGGATATACAATATGTATATGGGAAAGACTAAACAGCTAGCAAACGTCAACGTTTTTTGAACGGTATACAAAAATAATATGTTTAAATTCGTACTCTTTTTCATCGAAGTATGTAGATGCTTAAGAAAACAAAAGCAGCAGTACTAAACCGAGATTCGGAACACTCCTCGTTATTTTGTTTTTTATTTAAAATATAAACGTATATGTATGTGCCAGCGAACTCACCACAAAACTAACGCGCCCCAGACTATGACTACTGCTATTATGGCACTTAAAATAGCCTCTGCGTAGAGATTCCTTCTGCATTTCATTAAAATCACGTTTCGTTGCAGAGTCTATAACGATAAATTCCTAAGAGAGGATAAATAGATAATATATTATTTTGTCAATTCACAGATTAATCTAATTGTTATATTCTTACCTTCGGTATAGCAAAAAACTTCGATAGCTTCTCTAGGACTTTGTCCTTTTTATTATCGCTAAAATTGGTCCAATCGTGAGATTTCAACACTAAGGAGAGCACAAGTTCATTTTTTTCCAAGCGACAGTTTGACAACTCCACGGAATATGGATCATCACCGTAGTTAATGTGTGCTGGCTCATCCCGAGGTTCAAGCAGGGGTACCTACGTAATAAAAAAAACACACAAAAAACATAAATACAATGGAAGCAACATACGAATATTTATTTATCACAAGCATTAGTATGTATGTATGTACATGCTACATACAGTGGATCAAAGCCAAACTGTAAAAAATGAGTCGTAAGGGACACACAACAAAATTTTTGAAATCAGCGGATGAAATTCGAAATTTTAGAGCGACCCCGAGTTTAAGTGCGCCAAAATTAGCTAATTGGGAATACTGCCCGCAAACAATTAGAAACATGCTCGACCGTGCAAAGGTGACTCTGGAATTAACTAAAATGCATAGTTCAACAGATTTTCCATTCTGAAAACTGCCGAAAGCAAATTCAACATATGTATTTGGGTACGACGGCGAACTTTATGTGTGGCGAAAAACAAATAAGGAGTTACTTTTCATAAATAAGAGGTCAGATGTTAAACACGGCGATGATCTTTTTCGGCAGTTGGACCTGGCATACTTCATATCATTCATGGGATTATGGTTTGGAAAATTTATTTTGATATTTTAAATCAAACTATCAAGATAAGACGCCAAACGCAAAGCTTACAATATACGGACCTGGCTGCTGTATAATACCCCTCATGTTTGGGAAACGCCAGCACGGAGTCCAGATATAAAGTTCGGCAGCACGGCGTTTCTAGTAAGGACTTAAAGAGTATATTACTTGAAGAATGGGAAAAAATTTAGACCATTTACTGCGAAAGTCTCGTTAAAAGTATGCCGAATAGGCTGGAAAGGGTCATTAGGAACTAAAGGATTTATACCAAGTATTAATTTGTATAAAATACTAAACATAATGCAAACTTCCAAATGTTCGAGTTTGGCTTTTGCACTGAATTTACAATTTTTTTGTTTATTGCTAAATATTTTTGTTAACAATTAAATGTTTTCAGTTTAATTTTTGGTTTATAAATGTTAATCAAGTAAACTGTCAGAAATTAGTCTCGAACATTTCTTACATTATTGTGAAGGTATCAAAACTCAGGTGTTGAAATTCTTTCCGATGATTGTTCGTGTTTTAATGATCGCAATTGCTAAACGAAGATGCATGTGCTCAAAAAGATACAGAAAATGTGTGGAAATGAAATTGAGTCGGTTCCGTTTCGTTGGTGAGCTCTGCTAGTAAAGGGTGATTTTTTGGCTATAATCCTTTTGCAACACTGGTTTCAACAGTTGACGGACATTTCGTGTTTTGTATCACTATCATCTATATAACAGCTTCACTTCGGTCTATAATTCAACCACGAATCATCTTACAAACGAACAACGCTTGAAAATTATTGTATTTTATTATCAAAATTCGTGCTCTGTTAAGAAAGTTCATCGCGCGCTCCTAAGCTCATTTTTGGATTAATGGGTGCGGAGTGAAGATCATCCAGAAGCATTGCAAGAGCTACCAATGCGTCCAGAAATATTCACAGTTTGGTGCGGTTTATGGGCTGGTGGCATCATTGGACCGTACTTCTTCAAAGATGATGCGATTCGTAACGTACTGAGCGCTACCGTGAGAAGATATCAAACTTTTTTTTCCGAAAATGAAAGAGCTCAAATTGCATGACAAGTGGTTTCAACAAGACGGTGTCACATGCACACAGCAGGCATAACAATGGACTCATTGAGGGGCGAACTCGGTGAACATTTTATTTCACGTTCGGGACCGGTCAATTGACCGCCTAGATCGTCTGATTTAACGCCCGTAGACTATTTTTTGTGGGGCTATGCTAAATCTAGTGTCTTTACAGACAAGCCCGCTTGTAAAGAGTATGCCAAAGTTGGACTAAGCGGATGAACCATTTGAGGCGCAGTCGCGGTCAAAATTTGCATGAAATAATCTTCAAACATTAAGTTATATGGACCATACTATCGATTAAAAAAAATTTTTTTTTTTGAAAAACTTTCCTATAACTCTTGAAAACTCAGCCTTTATATAGAGGACGCACATAATTTTGATAATATACATATTTACATATTTGTGTACATATATTCTAATGCAAATAATACAAATGAGCAAATTTAAATATGTTATACAATTATTCATTGGCTATAAAATATGCATTTAATTTTATATGATGAATGTAATATTAGAATGTTTGCTTGTATGTATGTTTTGGCTAAATTCGAAACTAACAACTATGCCTGAATGTAATTTTTCGAATATACTCTATAATATAATTCTGTATCACATGTATGTACGCTGGTGTTATGCGAAGAGGGTGTATATGATCCAGCCCCAGATTATCGCAATGTTAATTTAACCTTTTTTTTCCATTTTCCGTGTGGAGGGGAGTATAAACTTCACGCCTGTATGGAGTAGTCGCGTTATTTCAAAATCATATTTAACATTTAAATCAATGATAAGGTGTATTTGTAGCAAAACCTCAGTTTTGAGATACAGACAGATCGACAGACTGACCTGCAACAGTCTCACAGACAACGGAACTGCTAATAGCTACCATAACCTCTAAAAGTTCACTAAACGTTCTTGATAAATGCAACAGGTTTGTCTTTTCATTTCTGTGTATTTATTTTGTTTCTTCAATTACACCTAATTCTGTTAACAAATAAGAATTATTAGATTTGGTAGGACTTCAAGAGTCAAGCCGATATTTAAAATGAAACTGATGGAGCTCCGATAATTCATTTCGATTCAACGCCTAATTCGCCGACAATTTCCTTGAGGAAGGGAAGGAAGAAGATCTCCCAAATGACTTAGTTCCTTTTGCATCGAAAAACCAATAGCTCATTCTGAACTATGATGTTTGTGACTTTTAAAGCCGTCCGGTACGCCAACCTGATTAGTGGTTTTCGTACATACATATATGTTGCTGAATGGAGCATGTACAGTCTAGTACTCACTTCAAGGATTTTAGTCTCATGTATTTCCGTCAGCGTGTCAGATATTGCTTGCACAGCACAGCATGCATGTTTTCCTGTACTAGTGTTGCTCCTACGACGGCAGGGGGTTTCTTGTCAGGATCCTTAGGGCGGCGTTCTGACATGCCTATAGCTTCTTCAACTGTGCCTCACTAGTTTCCGGGGTCCAAATCGCAGCAGGATAATCTTTGACCGCACGGCGATTTGCCTGTATGTTACGAGCAAAGTTTCTTTGACCTTTCCTAAGGTGCTGGCGGCTAACGATTTGAGGATTTTCTTACGCTCTGTACGTTTGTGGCAATTGCAGTCGTATGTGGAGTGAAGGAATGCAGACTGTCGAATGTAACTCCCAGTCACATTGGGATATTAATTGACGGAATATACGCGCTATCGACTTTCACATCGAGTTCGAGCCGGTACTCATTCGTCCAGCTGATGAAGAGAGTAACAGGGAATTCCATCTTATTGTATCTTAAGCTGTCTTGCACTGAAGAAGTGGGAAAGGTCGGCGAGATAGTAGTTTTTTCGACCATAAGCTATAAATATTCTTTCCATGCAATTTGATATTACAGATTCGTATCTACAAGCAAACATTGATTCTGACAAACATGGAAATCGGTCAACTTCATCACCCCTCTCCAATGAAGTTTCCAAATACGACAATTAATATTTAAGTACTAAAATAAAATACCGTAAATTTGATATGGTCGTGGAAAGTACAGATCTTGTCACTAGTTTTGATTTTTTTTTTACAAACATATATTATTTGAGTATAAATTCTTCAGACTTATTTAATACCTCATTCCAGTGCGGGTATCAGTGAACAAATTAATAACTACTCATGCATACATACATTCATATGTATATGCATGTGTATGGACATATTCACGTACATAAATATCTTGAAAACATAAAAGGGTTTGCTGTTGTCATCATCATTTTGCCTAAGTAATTACCAAATAATTTAAGCTACGACGCTTCACATTTTAAAAGTATACATGTTTATGTACTTATATGTATGTATATACAATACATATGTAGAACGTATAGATTTATATGTTAACAAAAATATTAATGAGGGCATTATTCACCATTTGTTAACGAAATGATGCAATCGCCATTTTGATTCACCCTAACAAATGAACGAGACCATACACATATTTACACACATATGTACGAGTATATACGAGTATACATATATTTATCTAATAAATATTTGCAAAATGCACATACATACATAAACAGATGCCAAATATGCACAAGTAAAAGCAAGTCACGTCCACTATCACTTTGCTTGAAGTCAAAGAACTCATAAACTGAATTAAGGAGAAGTCCAACTAAGACAAAACCGGAAATCGTGTAGTCCCAAATAAGAAATCTTCAGTTAGTTTTGGTAAAGTTTACTTACCGCCCTGTACAAAAATCAATCTTCCCTGGCGAGAGCAACACATTCACAAAGAAAAGTTAGTAGTTTTTTTATAGCGATTGAATAATTAAGTTCTCATGAGTAATAAATGAATAAAATACGTTAATTGTGAATTATTTACTTATGTATGTATATTGTATAAAGATAAAAGTCCACAAAGAATTAAAAACGTTAAATTCATTCAGGTTTGTTACAGAAACCGACACAGAGTTGCTTATTTATCGGAATTGGAAATCAATATCTGATTCGACTTGACATTGCTTTTTTCGAAGATAAGTAAAACCGATATTCGAATCAGCTGTCAACACACTTTTGGAAGGATTTGGCGAACCTATCCAGGAAAAAAAGCGCAAAATTGTAAGAGATAAGAGCAAGCCGCTGGAGCTGCCAGAGTAGATGTAAATGCGATTCGCATTCTATTTACTTTTACATTTGCTGATACAAAATTTGTTTGTATGTATTCCTCGATGTCATTGAAGACCAGTTAGATGGGCTTTTCATCCCACAAGTGCTCCAATTTGCAGCCACACTGCGGAAGGCTCCTATCAACGGTCTGTAGGACCCGAATATCTCCTTAGCGCGACATACAGTCTCTGTGGTTATTATAAAAATGCTAAAAACTCTTTAACGTTTGAATTGTCCATGCTAGACAATTTTAGGAATGAATGACAATGGAAGCCCCTAATCCTTTACATATAAACAATCAGTCAATTCTCAGCAATCGGTTTCGGACAGAATAAAGAATGTGCAGCGAGATATGGCAAAGTTATTCAATCAATAATAACATTCACCCGTCTACAAACATACATATACATAAATTATATACGGATACATACACACTCGGCCTTGTAACCGCCGAAGCGATTTTCGGTCGAATTTTCTATAATTTTGGACGTTGGTCGGTCCAGGACTTGAACACTGGCCTCACGATTTGGTCTTGATTTTTTCCTAGAATGCGAAACACCTCCAAACGGCGGATGGAGTTCTTGAAAAATGGATTCAGTTAGATGGGAGTTAGGGAGAGAGTTAGTTAAAATCAATAAACAAAAAATCTATGTCAAAAGCGCATTCTCTAGGTAGCAAAATAATCACGACGATCATGGAGTAGAAATCAAATACACAGCATCAAAATAAAATAATATGTATTTACATATGTTCAAAGATATATTATATTATGTATACGTGTACGAGTAAGACACATTCACATCATAAATATACGAGATCGCGCTTGGCCGGCGAGAAAAGGTACACTCTGTTAAAAATAACAACGAATGCTTTGAGGAAAGAGCTTTCAAAAAAACCTAGAAAACTATATTTATTGTATGGTGCCCCTTTTACTTTGGATTCTCTTCTTCGCTGTGAGTTCTTGGCCACCATATTTGATTATGTTACAATATACAAACCAAAACATAAACAAAACTCGGAATACTGCAAATATGTAAACATAAATAAGTTTCCTGCCTCGTCGAGTCTCTTGTGCAACGTTTGCTTTATGGCTCCATTTTCATAGTCCACAAATATGTGTGCGTGCATATGAGTGTAGGTATGTAAGTGCATGTGTGCGCATGATGTATAAAAGCAAACAAGGGTCATTACACCCAGCACTTAAGACTTCGCAAGGAAATTTTGCTTCCAATTAAACAATAATATTTAACATTTCAATGTGAGCAAATGAATTCATTTGTATTTACATATGTACATACACGTATGTATGTACATACTCGTACATCACACTTGTGGTCTGCCATTACAACGGTAGAGCATTGGGTCAGTGAATTCCAGGCTAAATAATATATGTATGTACATATGTATATAAATACGTATGCCTTATTTAAGAAATTATTGAACAATAAATACCGATGTGTGTTCTCAAGAAAGCGTCTACTAGAAGATGTATGCCGGTACTAAAGTTGGGTCTGATCTATACTGAATTCAAAGTTTCCGTACTATAATAGACAGTTTAAATAATTTAATATATAAAATCTTACACATGTTTAAATGCTCTTGAAACTTACGTCTAAGCCTAATATTTGCCGAGTATGGGCGAGTTCTAAAAATGTCAAAATACTTTTCGCAGCCGCGCCATTACAATGCAACCGTGCAATCTATAAATTTACCTTGCAACAATACTTTGCACTCTCTGACATTTCGGAACGCTTTTCGTGCAGATAAGTTGTTTTTCGGTGAAATGGCTAAAATATGAAACAGATCAAGACCTCGGACCTCAGTTGCGCTTGGGAATGAGCGACAATGTGTGGTTGCTTTGCAGCTGATATTTTGGAACTCACCTTATTTTTCAAATCTCATACAAACATCGTATGCATATTTTCGAAAACTTTTCGAGATTTTTGTTCATGCGTTATTTAAAGTAACGGAAACTTTCAAAAAAAAATGTAAAAACTCGAAAATTTTATTTCCCACGAGTTTAAAAAATGTAGAAATCCTGCAATGAGGCCGATCATAATTCCAAAGATAATAGAAAGAGATATAATAAAAAAACAAGAATAAAGAAGACCTGCTTTCAGCCTTTAATGGACCAATGCTTGTTTCAGCCAAATTAATTGACTAATCCTAATGAACACTTTAATGTTGCTAAATTATAAATAATTTCTTGTTAAAATAATTTCACTTTCTTCAGAGATTTTTACTTAGAACATGAGCTTATACCACATACATGTTGCAACAAAGTATTTTTAATCTGTTCACATGCGATTAAAACGATGATTGTATTTATTTTGCTTTTGTTTAATTGAGCAGCTAAACACAATTTTATTTTTGCATTTTATTTCGAAACGATTTGCAAAAGAAACTCCCGATAATGGCAATAAGTGGGTGTTGCCATACGGCATAAGAATAAAAATGCACTAATATATAGGGCTGTATGTACATAATGATTTAACGAAGCATTTTTTTATTACATAAAAAAAATTACGTGAAATACTGTGCAAGGTGAAGACCCCCCCTTAAAACTGACTGAGGCAATAAAAATTAAAAGTGTAAAATTTGTGTTTTAATTGTTTTATTTTAATTTTTTTTTTAATATGTGGCAACACATACAAAATAACAGGGTAAAAATCTAAATTTTTTGCAATATCAACTTTGAATGTCCCAAAAACTACAGGCCTCCGGCGGTTTCGGTATCTGAAAGGCTGTTTCATTAATAAGTTTTTTTGAACTTTGCAGATTCGTTGCTTCCTACATTATGATAATAGTCTAGTGGTTAGTGGTCATCACTATGGTATGTGAGGTTCGCGATTCGATTCTTGCAGCAGGCAAATTCATTTTTTTGGTGAATTAGCAAAATTCAATATGCCTAAATAAACTGATACACAACTAGTTCAAAGTTGATATGGAATCGGACAATTGTCAGTTCGTAGGGCATTGCCGTATTAAAAATACCAGCTACGTGCAAAACTGCATGCCAGTTGGATTCTAGTTAACGAGCTGTATTTTCCCCTGCAGCGTATATACTCGTACACATATATGAATTCGGATTTATGAAGGGAGTAAGTTTTTTTTATGAGGAGTTTTTATTGCAAGACTGAAGTACGCTCGGAGAGCTCAACACTCCTTGAAGAGAAGCGAGTAGAATTGGAAAATTTAATTTTTTTAAACTAATTTTCTATAACTTTTGGGTGTTGGTCGCACCAGAAATTGAAAACGGACCTTCCGAATGGTAGTATGCAATACTAACCACTCGGCTACTGCGTTGAAATTTTATCGCACAAAGATTCATGTATGTACATATGTATGTATGAATAGGCTGTACCCAAATTAACGCAAGATTTGTATTCAATGAAAAATCACAATCCCTACATATTATCGTATACCTTTACACCTTTTTTATTTACATTCTTGTCAACACATGTACATACGTAAGTTGGCTGCCAAAAATAGTAGAAAATACGGAAAGAACATCTCACCAGCATTCTTAGAACCGCGACCGTTCTGACTCAACCTACAACTATGGACACACATACAGACATCTATGTAAACAAATGCTTTTGTTTGTTTCTATTTCTACATATGTACATACGAGTATGTACATGCTTTAACAGTGGTCTGCAAGTAAATTTTGAAAAACTTCGTTAATGATAACCACAGCGCACGTTTCATGAGTCATGCTAAGCTGCAAATGAACTGAATGAATCAAATGAGAACGAAAGCTATTCAAAATTGGTGGTCGTCAAAAACAAAAGCTACGTTTTATTAACTATTAGGGTGTGTCAAAGTTGCTTACGACCGACCAATTATTGGAAAAACAAAAAAAGGCTGTAAATTTTTCAAATTCAGTTTTTTATTTCTAAGTCAAAAATAAATGAAGTTGTTTTTGCTATTTCCCCAAAAGTAAATTCATATTACCAAAACTTGGGATACCCTAGTATATCCATAAACCATGTTTGTATGTATATGTATATGTGAATTTAAAGTTAAAAGCAATTGAAGAAGTGATAATAAGCGTTAAGATAAGAATTGAAAGAGGCTCATTTATGCTCCCGAGAATAAGGTTAAAGAAATTAAATGCCCACGTACGTACATACATATGTATGCATGTACATAAATATATGTGTATGTAAAAGGTCGGATGAATGCAGAGATTTTCCAAGTAATCTACACCATTATGTTATGTATGTACATATGTATGTAATGGCCAAGGTGCATTAAATGAAAGAAGAGTATATTACATAAACGGAAGTTGGTTCTTAGAAAGGGATTCCAAAGCATTTTATTTGTTTTTATTATTTATATTACTTCGTTACTGCATCCAATTAACACAATAAACAAAGAAGAAGAAAAAAAAAAACAATTATAAAGCTATTAGTCCAAGCCATAACTCCAGACGAAATAGAAATGCTGAACAGTTAATACATAAATATGTATGTATGTATAAACATACATACCAATCCACGTATATGTTATATAATTTAATACTAAATACAATTCATATACATACATATGTACCTAGGTATGCACACACATACACACTATTCGAATGAAAATGCGTCAAAACAGTGCTAATAGAGGGAAGACTAGCTTACCTGGGAGTCGTTAAAGTTGAAATCACGCTCCGCCCGTACACATTCCAGGCAGCTGAAGCTGAACAAAACCAACAGCAGAGTCGTCGTCGCTATGCTTGATAACGTTAAAACCGATTTCGGCATCCGCCACATATTCCAATTTTTTATATGTCTCTCGCTAGGTGATAATGTTGTGCGCTTGATGGTGCCGCTCTCTTGATGCGGCACTCAACTCAACGTGTGCTTTGTACTGCTACTAAACTACTGACGTACTTATGCATTTGTGTCCGCTTTTGAGCAAAGCGAGTTTTCCGGGCCACTTCAATAATGCAAGGTTCCAAACTGCTAATGTTTCGAGGATTGAACTAAAGAATTCGGCGGCGAGATTTCTTTTTTAATAAAAATAGTCCAAAAATGATGTAGTTGAGCTCATGGAATAATTTCTTTATTTCTTCTGAAAGCAGAAAATTAAAAATATATTTAATACATATATGTATGTATGTATGTATGTATGCATGTATATATGTATATTTAATAATAATAATAATAACAAAGCATTAGTACAATAAGATTTCCATATCTTTTTTAGTACAACAGAGATAGTGTGAAGAATAAGTAAATATTACTTTACAGATACCTTAACAAAAATAATAATAAAAATAAAAATAATTATAATATATAATGAGTTATATAAACAATTATTGAATGGTCAGTCTATGTTTGAAATTTGGCCTTTAAAATGCATATATATGTGGTTCTTGAAATTGCTTCTGTTTAATTTCCTCCTTAAATTAGCAGGAAGAGAGTTCCATAATCGACTAGCATTGACAAAGAACAGCCTTGATGATTGCTGTGATCTATGAAAAGGTATTATTATATTACCTACTCTGGCTGACCGAGTAAACGATAACTTGGAAAAAAGATAACTAGGTGATTGAGTCATGATGAGCTTGCAAAGAAAAATACAACTAAGAGATAGCTTCGATCGAAACCAAACACCTGATATAAAGAAAAGCTGATGGTTGATGCCTCCTATAATATGGGGTTATCTATTTTGCGGTTTCAAAAAAAAAAACGTAAATAAAATACATTTAAAATAATTTTTATTATAAAGTTTGAACCATGTGAATTACTACATCATTCAAATGACCGCCGCGATTTTTTCTAACTACATTCCGTTTGAGATCATTTTCGAACACTCTTTGGCACATTGGCCCATATTGGGCAACGTATCTTGGGTATCTCAGCCATAACTTAAAAAGTTTTAAAGTGCTCAAGAGTTAGAGGTTTGTCCGCATAAACACAGTCTTTTTCGTATTTTCGTAACCCGACAAAAAAGTCCAACAGTGTCAAATTGCACGATCTCGGTATGAAATTGACATCGCCAAGAGAAGCGATTACGCCGCCGTTGTGTGGCTTGTACATATTTTTGAAATCACATTTTACCCAAGACGTGCTCTTGAGTACGTCGAGAAACAAACATAGTCGGGTCTTCGGCTACACCTGACCCATGTTAAGCGACACATACGAAACGTGGCCACGTTTGATACATTTCCAATTAGAATTGAATCGAATTGAATAAAACACAATTAAATGGTTTACTTGTCTGGCCTGATGCTTAATCGAACTGAATTAAACCAAATTTCAAACGTATGAAAGAGAATCTTAAAGTCACCCGATTTAGCCGGTTTCAAGATTTATAAAAAAAAAATACCTTCGTGCAACTAACTCCTAACAGACGAAGGATACTGATCTACCCGTGAAGTATGTCCATCACTATTTCTTGAGCCATGTTATCCATGACGGAGCATACCCCCTTCAGTTGCCAATATTTTCGTAGTATTTACAATCTCTTTAATTTTTAAGCGCAAATGCATGTTAGGGCCAAAGAATTTGTTCGAATATTTTCGAGCAGCTCGACCAATTGAGCGACGAGCACTCGCACACTTGCTCACTGCTCATTGCTCATTGCTCGTTGTTAGAAAATTAGCGAAAAATGAGCTCGAACAACTCGATATTCTTCAGGCGAATTTTTTTGTCGAATCTTATTTCTTTAATTATAATTTTATTTCTGCAAAATGTAAAAATCATTGTAATACTAAACACATTTTGACAAACAAAACAACATTTGAGGAGTTGAGCAAGGAACGAGTACCGATACCCGGGTATTTAGGACTCTATTACATATGTACATATGTATGTAAGTATGTGTAGAGTATGTAAATACATACATATATGTACATGCAAACATAGTATTTTTGGGTAGACATTGCTTCCGCTCTCTTTATGGCAAACATTCCAAACCAATACGAACAAATAGACATCTTACAACGCAACGCATATACATACATAGTATGTATTTACATATGGATGTGTCTATATAAGTTAATGTGTAGTTTTTTCAAATATTATTTACGCCAATAAACTGAAAATTAAAGTTCAGATCGGTATTTTCGCTTTCGAGCAGAGTCAAGCAGTCAATTTTGAGGCTGACTGAATGAGTTCGAGAATATTTCCCCACAAAACGATGACAAACTGGGTCACGAATATAATCTATGACACCAAGTATTAAATTTACATACTTGTGTACGCATATGTATATTTTTATATTGACATATGTATGTACGTGCTTATATGTATGTATGCATGTATGTATGGGTGTTTAAAGAATTTGTGCGTTTGCAGCAAAGTAAAAACGATTTCATTCATGAGCTCTCCGCGTGTCGAGTAAATCCGACTAAATATTGATTGGAAACAAACACGCATCGCAGGCATTGAAAATTTGAATGTAAAGATTGCATATTTCATTTTTATTGTAATTACAATAATAAGTATATGTACATCTACATACCGATGTATGTATATGTCTGCATACATACATACATACACATGTTTATTATTCGACTGGAGATTTCCACTTTTCCACAATTAACACATTTTATTTAAGAATTTTAGTTTTTCAACATAAAAAAGCTGCAAACTTTAATATTTTTATTAAAAATACCTTAGATTGGTGTGTGGGTAATGTCAGTTGGAGAGATTTAATTACGTTGAGGGAATGTTGTGGGCTTTTGCGCCACCGTGCCCAAGAAATTCCAATCAAACTTTAACAAACATACCGGCAAAGCAAAGGCAATGCACGTTTACGCTTATCTGCATACAGGTATTAGCTTATATACTCGTATGCCGCATACATACATACATATGTACGTATTTACATAGTTGCTGGTATGTACAGGGGCGGCAAAAATAATAGCACTATCACATCCGTTGGCACATACTAATTTTTGTCAATTTATAGGTTATCTCTTTCTTGAAAGCAAAAAAATGTAACCAAATTAAACCATATATGTATATATATATATGTATATATACATATGTTATTTCAATAGAGTGACCCACTTCCGAGAAAAAGATTTTCAAGCAAATCAAACAGCAAATTAACACGATTTTTCTGAATAAGTCAATCCCGTTCCGGAGGACATTGGTCAAGTATAAGATCATCCATTATCCATACAGCTGAAAATGTGAAAATGCGGTCATTGTTTGCGTTCCTGATACTGCAACAGTCAATCAGGCACAATTGTGGCTTCGTCAATTTTGTTCCGGTTTTTTTTTTCATATAGAAAATGCTCCGTTGTGGCAGAGCAATTGTCAAAAATGTCGATAAAATAATGGAAGTGTCAAATCTGACCGTCATGCAAGCATTCTTTCGGTGTCGGAGCTAAACATTGCACAAATATCGATTTGGAACAACTAGCAACTCGGACCCATAAAGATATGGATGTACGTGCGATCCATGTGTTAACGAAAAAATCTCATGGACCGAATGTCCGCTTACGTATCGCCGCTGAAGCGGATGATGACTGATGATGCAAAGTGATAGCGGAGGTAATCGAAGGGCAGTGAGCTGGCACAAACGGTTTCCAAGCCAGGAGTTACGACCAGGAAACTTTTGTTGTATAATGACATTACCTTTGAAAATACGAAAAGTTATCGAACAAAACGGTGCAAAGCTCTAGGGGAGGTATACATACACACGTACATACATAGCTAAGCTAACACATATCTTCTATCATTATGATAGGGAGCATAAAACAATCGCTCGTCAGTTTCCAACAGTTAAACACAAACATCTGTGGCGGAATAAATTTTAAGTTCATTGGATAAATCAAAAGATGCCAAAAGTAAAAGGTTTTATATTTCTCTGTAGGGCAATTGTATAGCCAGTAATCGTGCCATCTTTTTTGTCGGTACTGTATGTTCATACATACACACATACACGTATGTGTGGTACGAAATGCTATAACAAATTGAAAGTTTAATGAATTGTAAGAGCACGTGGTCAGAATTTCATAACTAAAAATAAATATATGCTTCGGTATGTTTACATGTTTAATATTATAATCAAGTGAAAAATACAATGTGCATATTTATGCAGTCGTATACTCGTACATACGCATGTACATATGAATATCCATGTATTTACATAGCTACATAGCTTTCAACACCCATTTTCTATTCTAATAAAATTGTAAAATTATTGTTTTTCTTTTGAGATAACAATGAAAATGATATATTTGTAATGCAATATCGAATTGCCGAGTGCAATACAAATGAAAGGAAATTGCGGGCAGTGGCAGCGGGAGTCATACAACATACACTCATACGTATGCGAGTAATCCACAACACAAACTTTTATCGAGCTTTAAATTAGTAAAACTTTTTTTATTCACAGTGGACAGAAATAACGGCTAAGTTACATTGTGCTTACATAAGTACATACATATGTACATATGCTTAAAAGCAGAGCAGAACTCTGTAATATAATGAGATCCGGACATGCTGCATTAAAATCGGCTTGTTTTTACGATTAACAATTTATTGCGGACAACTAATTTACACTCAGTATTATATGTATGTACATAAACAAGTGTTTGTATATCATCGTGAATTCGCATTGTTTACATAAGCATAAAATTGAAATTTATTTTTTAGCGCTCTCTTGAACTTGTACGTATCTACATAGTTTATAGATTCACTGAAATGACATGCGTTCTTCTGCTGACTAAATGGGTTTTGAAGAAAGTTTCCAGTCCGATTCTTTAACTGTTCACTCTAGGCTGATTAGCTACCTTGCATGAAATTTTATGAATTGGACAAGAATAATAACAAACATTTTTTTTTTGGACTTCCAAACTCACCTCTAAACACAATCTGAATCATATCTTTTATTCGTTCTCGCCTTTTCGAATGGGTGCTCCAACCACTCTGACTTATTGTCGAAATTGAACACAATGTCGAAACTGAAACTATGAGCAATATTGTCGGAAAGGTTCCCCACGTAGCAACTCTCTCGAAGAGGAGATAAAAGCCAAGAGAATAAGGTAATGTGGCGTGTACCTTACTCCTAACTTACTACATAAAGAGCACACTCCTTCAAGAACTTCCTTC